GCACGCATTTTAATTGGTTCTCACTTATGATCTATTGGAGGACAGACGTATTTCGTCATCATTAACACTTTTTTAAATTCTTTATTGTATAAAACAAATAGATTCCGAGTTGTCGTGCTTCTGTTCAGTAATAGATCACAGAGGACGTCAAAATGTGGTAAGAACAAAGTGGCACACGAGGCGCATGCATTCTCTTTCAAATTTTGCTATATCAATTTTTTTTCAAACGATCTTTCGCATCTTACGGACCCTTTGCCGCTACGATGACTTAAATAAATTTCAGAAAAAGATTTAAACGACATGGCTGGTTCATTATTTCACCGCAGGCTACTGAATAAGAAACAAAAGCAACGCCACTAACTTGTTTTGCCGCACACGGAGACTTTGACAACTTAACACACAGGAAAAAAAAAGCAGGATTTAAGATCACCGCAATAACGAAATTTATTATGGTAAATAACTACCACTTTATTTCAAATTTGTTGAAATCACGAGATTCAGTCGTTGGATACAAAATGTCTCTCATTTTCCTGCAATTTGATCGATTTCTTTAACAAGTCTTGAAAATTGACTATTATATAGTTTATTACATCCATTTTGAAATCACAAGATTCAGTCGCTCAATACAAAATTTCTCTCATGTTCCAGCAATTTGATTAATTTCTTTAAACAAGTCTTGAAATTTGATCGGTTGTTGTATTTTTAGTAGAGTGGTCTCATTGGTTGGGATAAAGATGCGATTTAGGAAATAAAATGGTGCGATTTTTCTATCAGATTGCAACGATCACAGGTGATTTTTAAAGAAATGTAATGAAGGATTTTATTCCCCGAAATATTCCATCAAAAACATCATAGTACAGTAAATACTATCGGTTCACTCAGTAAAGATGGCGACATTTTTGCGCAATCACGCAGAATATTTAAAAACCAGATAAATTGGTTTTATCAACTGAGTTGATAATGTAAATTGGCTGCTGAAAAGAGTTTCTAAGGCAAACGTTTACATCGTTTGTCCTTCGTAAGAGCGTCAGTTGACAGAACCAAATTATCTTGTAATACCCCATGACGCAGCATCGCCATTACCCTTTTTATTCATGTGTTAACTAATTATCAATCATCCAGTACTGGACGGACTGTCACTTCATGTTGTGGCTTTTAAGGATCATTCGAGTTTTCGATCGCAAGTTACTAACTTACGATCGAAACTTACAATTTGCGATGCATTATAATTCAAGATCCCAACATATAACGCTCCATTACGGCGAGAGGACTTGTACATGAAAAGAGATGGACTCAAAACTGGATCAACACCGAATCCGAGCGGAAAAACGACCTCCACTTTATCCGTTTTAAGGCAAGTACGTATGAGTCGATGAGTCGGCATAAGCACGCTCATAATACGCTTTTGTGCTTGCTTGGATGGTACGAAAACCTTTCTTTTCCTTGTACTGGTTCTAGTTCTTCAACCATGTTTGAAATATTTTTGTCGAGAATATACCAGTTCAGCCTCTTCCGTGAAACGTCACAAGTTTATGTTAACAACATGCACAAGATTAATTCTCTTTACACTATTTTACTTTTGTTTTTCAATTTCTTTCCTTTTTTCATTCGAAGGTTTGGCAGGTAAACCATTTTGGAGACTTGAGTGTTAAGCTTATTCATTTTTGTTCCTCGATGGACACATTTCGGAATCTCTGTGTTGAAATTTCTCCCCTGCACACATTATAGTTCAACGAACGATTCTTCACAATCGTTTTTATTTGTTAAAATAATTGTATTATATCATGTGTTTCACGATGAAATGCAGCGTTTTTAATTCGTTATCAATTCCTTTGTAGTTAAATCAATTAGTTTTTTCTGTGGAAATTGTTTTTCCATTTAGTACATAAATACGTAGAAAAACTTGCAACAGATAGAATATGGTAAAAAGTTGTGTCAATCATGGAAATTGGATTTACAAGCATTAAGAAGTATTTACTGTTATATACATCTGTTCAATATCATGAAGAAAATTCGGTGTTTGGAAACTATGCATAAGAAAATAATTATTTATAAGGTATCATCATCTCAACAATACCTTTCTTTCCTTATTGCAGTTCTCTAAAGCTTTGGCTATAAACATTTCTGCTCCAGATTTGCAAACAGAACTTCGATAGAGTGATGATTTTTTTAAACATTATATTCACGTTTGCTCTAACCCCACACGGGTTAAATGTCTCGTGAAAATTACGTCTATTCTCACTTTTCGCTCTTTGTATACGTAAAATATGAATATGTACATTTATATTACAAGAACGCTTGCAGTTCGAAATGAATCAATTAAACGCTCCAGCATATCTATCTGAGCTTAAATTGAGTCTGTTCAGATGAATCAACAGTTCATGAAGAACTCGCTTCTGTGGGCACGTCTCAATCGTGCAATGCGCATGTCGGCTCTGGATGCACTCTTCACCCTCCCCTCCGATACACACTGGCTGTGGATTAATACTAGGGAGAGAGGGTATGGTAGTTGTTGTCACAGTAAGCGGCCCTCTATCCTGCACTAGTCAGATGTTCGACTTCATCCGAGCTCTCAGCATCTGCCGGGTTCGCTCAGAGGATGTGGCCGAGCTGGAAGACATCTGATGAAAAAAAAGAATAAGTTGAAAATCAAGCATAACAATTTCATGATATGTTAGGCTACGAATGTTAGGCTAAGCAAGGTCTTCATATAAACACATACACACAACCCACAATTCCTCCATTCGCTCTGATGAAGGGCTAATTCTCGAAATGTTATCTTCGAAACTCTTCACGGTGGCTAATTTACGTTATCAATTCAATTGATAATACCAAATTACCCTATGCAAGGTTTGACTGGTCTTCAGTCTTCCTCGTGGCGCTGGTGGCCATCACAGAAACCCGTGGGCGGAGGTGTGATGATAAAGTCCAGTGGAAAAGAGGAAAATGCCTTCTACCCTCCTTGCTCCAGCGGGGTTTATCATTACCTATTAATCGTTTTTAAATCTCACCGAGCTAATATTTGGCAGTCTTCATAAAAAAATGAGTTTTGCATAATGATGTCACAAAACATTGGAATGAAAGCTACAGGGCAGCGCGTTAGCGTGGCTGTGTTCATAACGAAAAAAATTTGTAATTTGTTACGCTCCGTGTTCATAAAATAGCTCCGTAACCCTCACCGAGGCTTGACCGTTGGTTCGTTTGCTTTACGGCTTGTGTAAGCGGTAAACTAACTGAATGTGTGGCTAACTGACTATTTTTACGGTGCGAATGAATTCTTCGAAGTTTTAATCAGTGCTGTTAGTACTAACAAACAGAGAACCGTACAACAAATCGCTTTAACTGCTTCACGCTCTTTGATCTGAGGTAAGGTCAGTCGGCGCGAAGAGTCCCTAAGAATCTTGCACGTTCGGTTAGAGTTTTCTAGGTTAGAGCGATTTTGTAGAGTTGAATGGCTGACCTGGAAATCAAACACGATGTTTGAAGAGGATGAAAAACTACGAGGAAGGAGCCAAACTAAGGACGATTGAGTTAAACAAGTTTAACGTAGGAGATAAACATAAATACAAAGTAGAAATCAAGTGTATGTTATTCAGTTGTAGCAAGACAAACGTATCGTGAGTAGGAGCTCAAAAAACTGAAGTGACTTCCCGTGGAATAAGCGGGGTATTCAGTAAAAAGAGATTGCACTTTCTACAAGAAGTTTGAGAAAAACCCACCTTAGATGTGTGCGATTTTGTTGACTTCTTCTTTATTTTGGGCAGAAGCACCGGAGCCGAAGCACTGGAAAGAAAAAGACGGATAGTGGTTCTTGACACAATACTATTTAGTGCTGGCTGTGACAAAATATCAGAAAGCTACTTTTGAAACTGCTGTGGTATATGTGGCCTAGAATGAAGTTCTAAGATCTCCTGGGTTGGCGGAAGTTTGAGCTGTAGGTCTGATGGTCACCCTGGGCCTTAATGGCCATCGTGGCCATCGTCGTTTCAGTAAAGGAACCGGTTTCACTTTACATAAGTATCTTTGACTCTTTAAAACTGAACTTGGAATCACTGTTGGTATCTAAGCAAATACGCTCCTGCCCCTCCCCTAACCCAACGACTATCAACTGATAACAGGTTAGGGTAAATGTTGGGTTAAAATGGTCTAAAAACTTCATAAGTGCATCTGCGTTTATGAGAACATGTAACTGTATAGCAAAGTGCCACTTTCTATTAAGATCACCTTTGCACACCTAAAACTAAACTGCAGTTTTCAAGATTGTCTCTTAGGCCAATGAGGAAATTCATTGATCGAAATTCATTGATTGTCAGTTGTGAATTAACGATTAATTTACTGGAACATGGGACGAAATAGCTAAAATAGGTGTAGAGTGAACTACAGAGATTAGAGTTTTGATGTAGAAATGAAAGAAAAAGATGAAGACAAAAAGTGAAAGTTACTATATATTACCCTGATTCGTTAGAGCTTTCAGAATTTTCTTTATTCTTACGTCTACAAGAAGGAGCTGACTTACATCGTGGAGTTGTTCGAAGTTTTCTATTTGATAAAGAGAGGAGAAAAGAGGACAACAAAAAGAAAAGACAGAGTTAGAGTACCCGAAATGGAGGGTAAGAGAGGACGAAAAAGGAAAAACATCAGGACCGTCGTCTTTTTCCGGGTATCGGCCAGCAGAAAAAGAGGAAAGTAAAGAAAGAGAAGTCGAGATTAGTAATAAAGTATAGTAGAGGAAAAATCGCCAAACTAGAATGAGGATCCAAAATTTAAGGAGTAGGAAAAGGTTCAGAAAGAAGAACAAAGTTTCGTTTGTCACTGTCACATTTTGCCATGCGGATACTTCTCTTCTGAGGATAAGAGAAAAATGACAGACTTAAACTACAAGGAGATGTTTCGAAACAAATCCCTTTCCTGAGAACCCTTGATATGACCCTGTTCATGACTTTCCTCTGTAGCAATCTGTCGATACAACGCGTGCAACTTAACCGTATTGAATCATGATAGTTCCTTTTCTTCACATTCAGCTCTTCAATAATCTGGAATGTGCGATCAGAATCTCACTCCTCGTCGCAAAGATGCGTACAGGTAATGTGAAATTAGTGATGAATTTTCAGTGTCCCAAGAAAGACCGGGAGAAAAAAGAATACCTTTTGCCCTTAAATGATGTAACAGCTGATTTTCTCCGCGGAGAATTTTTCAAGATGGAAGCTGTGCTATTCCTAAAAAGGTGAAAAGCAAGAAATGGAAAAAGGGGAGAGAAATAATTGTATGGGAGAAAAGAACCGGACTAAGACTGAACTTTGAAGACTTTCACGCAACGAGTGCGCTGAGGTAGTACAACCAAATTTGGATATATTCATATGGGACATGTTTAGGAACATGAAAAATTGCTGACATAATACCTTTTGACAGTCCTAGTTGAAGAAGCAGAGGAAAGCCTACTAACAGTGAGGAAGGAAAAATAAAGTCAAAACAATCAGTGATGATCTCAATTCGCAAAAGCGCGAGCAGTATAATCAACTAACAGAGCTTAAAGCGAGAAATGAGTCCTTCTGATTACCAATGGATCTGTTGTAGCTTTTAAAGTAGGTGTGCGGACTACAGAGTAAATACATAGCAAATACGAACTTGTAACCAATTTGAAAGTGTAATAAAGAAAGAAGCTTAGCATTTCAAACAAACTCAAATATCTAAGCACGAAAACCAGGAAGTAGAGTGGCAAGAGAGCTTCTAGAAAAAAGCTTAAACAAGCTTAGAATGAGTTTCTGAGGAACAAGGATGAACAACAAAGGAAGTAGTGTGTGAAGTAGTGCAGAGCACGGAGGAGAATAATCAGAACCCATCGTAGAAAAAGGACCAAAGTCAACATAAAAGAAACTGCGCCAATCCCAAAAAACCATGCAGCACCTTTCCAGCATGTACCTAATAGAAGTAGATGAAGAGTTTGAGTTGCTCCACTCCTTAATTCTCGCAGCTGGTGCTGAGAAGCGTCTGAGAGAAAGAAGAAACGCTCAAGAACATGTAGAACACTGAGAATGGACGGAGAGTGACATGGTGTTTCAGATTGAGGGCAACCTATAAATTGACTTTAAATAAATGTTATCATCAGGAATATCAAAACAAAAAAACAGCGATATGCAGTTTTTATCAATCGACATTAAGTCGGAATTTAATTTTTTACACCGACCTTGATTTGATGAGTCCGTGGTCCAAACTGAGAGCTGGAGCGGAGGAGGACCTGTACGTTATACCTTGAGGGCAATTCCACTGTGAGGAAAAGGCGTCTCTCAATAAATTAATCGATAAAGCCTTAAATCTTGTGATCGAGCTATCAATCGATTACTCAATCAAACAATCAATCAGCCAGTCAGTTCTTCAGTCTATAAGTCATTTGATAAAACCATTCATTCGATGGATCCGATTCAATCAATTCAGTCAGTCGGTCGGTCCGTCAGTCAGTCAGTCAGCAGGCCAGCTAACCGGTTACACAGCTGGTCAGTCAGTCAGTCAGTCGTCAGTCCATCGGTCAATCAGTTAGTCGTCAATCAGTCAGTCAATAATCCAAATAGAATTTCGAACTATTTTCAAAATCTTTAAAGGAATGATTACTTTCTTTGCGAAAACAAATAAATCAATTAATAAAATTAAGCCTTACTTGATGTGTTGGATCCGAGGTTGCCCCAATATGAAGTTTCTTTTCACCAAGTGCTTGGAGAACAGCGATTCCTGTGTAAGAAAAAAGACCAATTTAAATAAACATTTACAGTGTAGAATCATAAGAAACATAACAAGAAAAAACTTAAGACCATAAGGGCAACAAAAAGACGCAGAATTTTAAAGAGTGACACGGACGACACTTGTTCAGCTCACGTTGTGGAACGCACGACTCCCGGTGTAGTGGTCTGGTCTTAAACTGGCCCCCATTTAAACCAGCTCTGAGCTGCACTGAGCCAGCCAGTCTAAATATCGCAAATACATACATAGACTGCAAATAACGTAGTTTACTTTTTCCGAATATACATTACGGTGACCAAGCTTTTTCTACCTGAATTTAAACTTACCCAGGACTGTGCTCCGCCCTTCTCTCATGTATTTTCTTGTCCATTCGTCCAACAAAATGTTGTAATATCTCTATAAGGAAATTGGTAGAAAAAATTCGATCAAGGATGGAGGGAAGAGAAAGTCATTTTAAAAGAGAGCAAAATTGCTGGAGTCCGTCGCACCATTCGGGGAAAAAACAGTGATTGAAAGAAAATGGTTGGCGCACCGCTCGGACCTCTGAGAGTGGCACACACTATAAGTAGTACCTTCTACAGAAATCCGCGCGGCGCGCTAAAATCTTCCTTTTTTTCTCTGATTTCTTTTGGTCGCGCGACGGACTTCGGCAACAAGCAGGGACTGCCCGTAGTTTAATGAGGCAGTAATAACTGTTTGTGCGTAAAATTATCCTCACCTGAGACTCAAAGAATCTTAAATACTTGTTGGACGACATGGATGGAAAAACTCTCTGAAAGCATCCTCTTCGACTATTCTGTGAGGGAAAATAAAAACGCTCGAGCTATGCTACATTACGGCAAGTTTCACTTTCTCGAATGCATGGCAGTCTCTTATGAAGGATAAAATGAATTCACCTTTCTATTTCACACACACATAATAAGCAATAAACTTTGTACATTTTGCTTTTCACTACGAAGAGAAATCGAAACAAAGATTTGTTCAAAAATTCGAATGTATAGTGTACCTCATCTTCTGTCTCCATAAGCATTCTAATGTCGTCTGGTGTTAAGATGTCAAGGATTGACTGTTTCGTGCGCTAAAAGACATGAATGAAAGAGAAGTGAACTGATTACAAGTTTGTATTATTAAAAGTTCTTACCAATAAATTCAAAATTCGAGTAATCCAAAGTAAGTGACGAACGCAGCTAGGGATTGCATTGGATTAAACTGATGTTTCTTAAGCTCCAACAGCCTATGTGATTGTTTTAGAAAACTCGATACTCTCTTGAATAACGAGATGCTGATGTTCACTAACACAAATCCCAACTACTCGGTCCCTTTTGCCTTTCCGCGCTCGAAGCATTTTCTTTGATTTCACCGTAAATTGTCCTATTAGTTCATTGCGACATTTTCTTTTTTTTGAATTTCTTTCTTTTGACTGGCTGTGTGGTAACTTTCGTTTGGGTTTTGACGCAATTCATCCTGATGCATCCTAGAAAAGCCAGTAAAAGGGTCAAGTGTCTGTTGTCCAATGATGCAGACTTTAAGCGCTCTCTGCGGCGTAATTTCGAGTTCATGAAACATGTTGTGTAACTGTCAGCAAGATATTTCAATAATAAAGGCATTGTGGGATTTCTAGATGCAATCATTTAAAAGAAAGGAATTTGAAGGGAAGCGTTATAAAATGTGTTCCTACCTCGTCTAGGTGACGTTGAACATAAAACGCATGCTGAAACACAAGAAAAATAACGTCCAACACAAATTAAGACGACACACAAAAGAACAGTTTGACTTGGTTCGAAGTCAATTCTTTGTTACATTGTCGCAAATAATGGAATGTATCTATAGTCAGTACTTTTTAACATCATTTGTACGTTCTAATAATCCGTAAGGCGGGCTCATAAGTAAAATGATTAAACTATATGTTGGGGTCATTGAAGGAGAAGTATTAAGTCAGCAGCAATCTCCGATACAAAAGCACTCAATAGAGCATGTCTAACTATTTCCCTTCTCGAAACATAAATCTAGACTATTACTATACTACAATTTTTTTTACTTTAGTCTTTGTCTCCACTGGAGGTATTTGACCTAAATGTATTTGTTGTTTTTAGAAATTGTAATCGTTATGATTGATTGGTAACAGGACCTCTTGTCGTCCAATTCTGTCTGTAATCATACTCTTGATTGACAAATTGGACTCCCGCTTTGCGGTCGTCCAGTTTTGTTAAACACCCGTATGATTACCGACCGAATTGGACGTTGTCACAGTAAATTAAGACTGGCAAACAACATAAAAACATGTTGTTCTAAATATCTGTAGGTATTTGCCATCAATAACATATATTCACCTTTCCTCTCTCATCTGAAGAAAGACCCGTCACAGCTTTATCTTGAACAAACTGGTTCATGTTACTAGTGCTGAAACCAAACAGGAATTTCACGTTCATACTCATATGTGCGCTGCACAATGCAACCATATTGAAAAATTACATGTTGGCGGAGTCACGTGCCTCACTATTCATCATTTGCTAATAGTTCGTAATTTCAATTTCTTTCTGATATTCCAATAGTTAGACTGACCTTGAAGTTGAGGTTGTGATCAGGTTTTCTGGGATGCAAAACCCAGCCAGGTTTAACAAGTCTTTTATCATCTGTCCCTTGATGTTACGGTCCAGTTGAGAGGTGGAGTGAAGACTGGGGAGGAAGTTGACGAAGTTTACTCGATTAACGAAATGTCATTCCTTAGTGATGCATCGAACGCGCATTTTTCTGCGCATCTCAATACGCACCTAACTGTACATCTTACTGCGCATCCTATTGCACACCCTTTTACACAACTTGCTGCGCATCTTATTGCACTTCAGACAAAGAGTAAACAAAACGAATGCTCGTAAATGTCCCGCAATAAATCAATTAACACAAGATGTGCATTAAAAAGCATTTCGAAAAATAAGTTAAAAATCATCCTCGTTTTCGATGAGAAAAATTATAAATGGCAGCCTTTTTGTCCCTTACTATGTTCCAATGTCTGGCGGACCATGGAAAAAAAATTTTTTTGCATGCGAAAACAATTATTTGAATGGGTTCACAAGAACACCATAGAACTACAATCCCTTAAGAATGAAAATTTTTGAGTTGGATACATATCCCTCGCGAGGTCAGTATTTCAATCTCTTGAGTATGTGAATTTCGGTTGAATACTGGTATCTCTCGCGTGGTCAATATTTCTGAACATGACAAATGCGTGAATTACCTTGGAGATATATTCACTTCTAGTAGCCACGGTTTAAGGGTCTCATCCAACATGACATCAAATCCAAAAAGCTCATGACAGCAAGATCTAGACAATGTTGTAGATGGTAGTAAAGATATTACAGTTAGTAATACTGACTGAGTTAGATGTTCCAGCGGGGAAAAAAACAGATTTTGTAACTTACCGTACCCATGAAAACGAGTTTAGTAAGATATTAACGAAGTACATTAAAAAAAATACGCGCTTCTGATTAGCTGAAAACGAGCGCATTCTCATGTAACACGAGTGCAAAGTTGTAGCACAAGTGCAAGTTACAAATGGCGCGCGCACGCTTTCAAATTTCGTTTGTCTCGACTTTCTGCAATGTTTTTTCAAGTACATTACTAACCAAGTAATTACATAATTTTTCTTTTTCATAACTTTTTCTTTTTGGTGTAATAAGCACTTGCAAATTTTTCAAAGATTACAAATAGCACTTGCCCTATGAGCTCATGCAATTCTGTTGTCTTTGAAAAAATTACTCGTGCTTATGAGCACCAAATTACACTCGAAATCATGTTAATACTTACACTTGTTACATCTCTGGGTTCAAATAGTGCGCGAAGATATCAATTCAAACAAAATTTTGAATTGAGGGGGGCATACAGCCATAAACAGCCCGGTAAATAGACCAATCATAGCGTACGTACTATAACTAAACTCTGTTAAATGCACAAATGTTGTTCAAGACCAACTGCAGTCTCTTACCTTTTTCTCACGTTCTGTTTCACCATGGTGTTTACCGCTGAGTCAGACCTGAAACATTCACATGAAGAAGTTCAATTACAATACATTTTCTCGTGCATGCTAAGATTAAGAAACGACGAAAATGGTGAAAATGTAGAAATCAATAAAAATAGACCTTCTTGGACAAGCACAGTGTAATGACAGGGTTCAAGTTTTCAGCAAAATGCGACAAAAAATGTATCTATAGTAATAATTTACATGCGTTCATTATTATCTACAAAGTTTTCAAAGTTATCATTTTCGTACGTAATAAGACATTTGCTGCTCAAAAAACGTTAAAATTTATAAGTAAACGTGTCGGTATCTTGTTTTTGCCGCTGCGCCATCTTCGCAGGAACTCCTTCTATAATGCTGGCGGCTTCTGCCTTTTACGGCCAAACTAACGCAAGTTCAAACTAGCTGAGTTGCTAAACAAAACTTCAACCTATGGACTATTATGCAGCTGTACTTGTCAAAATGGATTTTACTAACTTTCCAGTGAGTATTACTTTACAACAACAGCACTTTCTGTTACTTACGCTATGATGGCTTTGACAACCAAATCCTTTATTGTCTCCCAAACATGAACATGGTTGATGTTCATGCGTTTCATGTAACCCCAAAGAGCTTTCAAACTCCTACAAACAGAAGCGTCACGTTTAATTAACAAAATGGAATGTTTGTTTTTCAGGTTATCTATGAGAAAGGTTGCAATCAAATTAAATACAAATGTACTCCAAATGTAAATGTACCATAACTTGGAAGTACTGACAGAAAGAATAATTTTTTGACGACAGCGTCGGAATATCGTCTGTACTGAGCTTGCTCTACCCCTACACATTTCTTTGCAAAGCTGAACAAATTAACCTTTTACACTTTAAAATTAGTAACTATGTTCTCCACACTGAAGTCAATCACTGTTAGGGTTTAGGGGTTTAAGCTTATTACAGTAAGTACATGTACAAGTGAATGAACAACACTACTTTAACCTACCATTTGTGTCCCTGACAAACAGTTTCATCTGAATTCGCTTGGTAAGCTCCTTCATTCTTTTTATTGATGCTGTAATTTGTCAGATGCATGAACTTGTTGCTTAAACTTTTCATGGATGATGAGTACCTTGAAAACAAAATGGAGATGGGAATCTTAGGAGGTGTACAGTGAAGCGTTGGACAAATTAACCTTCACAACTACTTAACCATGCACACATCTATTTATTGTATGTCATACTTGAGTCCTTGAAAACTTACTTGCATGTTGCAAATCTTACAAGCCCATCTTCAAAGACATATATCCTCAGAGGATCGTATGAAGTGACGTAGACATAGATTCGAAGATCAAACTTGCTTCCATTGATGAGAAACGGTTTGGCAAGGTACCTAAAAATCACAACAATGATGATATTAATCAAATTGTTACAATTTCTTCAAATGTGATTGCTGCATTAGCTGCTTTATTCTACACTAAATATTCGGTACAGTTGTAATCGGATAATTGGCTGTAATCGGACACTTGCAATCCAACAGTTGAAGCAGCCAACCATACTTAGTCCTTTCAGTCAAATCCACTAATTACAAAATTGATCACAATAACCATAGCAACAACCACTTATCCTAGGAAAATTGTGGAATTTCCAAAAGTTAAGGAATTTTCCATCTAAACATTTTCTCTCCTACACATATTTGTCCTAAATGTATTTGTTGTTTTCAGAAGTTATAACTATTGGTAGCAGGACTTTGAGTCATCCGATTCTGTCTGTAACTATACATGTGAGTGACAAATCAGACTCACGCTTTGCGGTCGTCCGATTTTGTAAATCACTCGTATGATTACAGACTGAATTGGATAACACAAAGTCCTACTACCATTATTAATGACTAGTCTAATCTTACGAACATGTGCTCACTCAGTCATCAGAGCTTAACCAATTATAGTCTATAACAACTATTGTGCACTGTACAGCTAAATTACAATTCAACAAGGATTAGTACCACTGCAGAAGAATTGCAGCCTGTTAATGTTTGAATTTATTCTGGGGGTGTGCTTCATTTTTTTGGGGAAGTGGGTGGGAAGAAAGGCAGTCACAGTAGCCTTACTGCAGTGATGATTGTCACCCATGAGTAATGAAACTCTGGACTTGAAATCTCTAAAGGTTGTGGCATCTCTCTACCATGTATACACAATTAATGTACATGTACTAGAGCATTGCAATTGCTATTGTTGAGTATTATACCTACGATACTGAGTAGTACATACACAAGTTATGTACTAGTTAAATAAACTCAGAGGGAAATATACAGCATACCTCTGAACAATAACAGGTCTCTTCCTTGGAATTTGATTCCACTTGTGAATGACACGGATTCCAATCCCTCTGGCTGAAGCAGGCTGTACATGAAAAAAACAGATTAACACTTTAACTCTCAGAGGTGATTAACATGGAACTTCTCCCTATGGTACAGGCAGAAGTTGCTATCTTGATCTAACACTAAATTTTCATAACTGATATATGAGGAAATGTGTAGCAGCTAAAGAGGAGAATTAACAATCAGATCTTGGGAGTTAAAGGGTTAAAAAAATCTAACGATACCATGCAAATCAAAGACTTAATTGCTAGTTATACAATTAATTAAGTACAGTCTTGACATGTTAGTCACCCTTCATACCTCCAAAAGGGTCATAATATATGCACATAATTGAGGCTGTACTATGGATCGTCATGATAAAGATTAACTCAAGTTTGCACAGTGGTGAAATGCCTTAAATACAGTGGCAGTCACAAAAAAGGGGACCATTCAAACACAAAAAAACTTTTAACAGACAACAGTATAATGTTTTACTTGAAATTGTAGATAATTACCAGTGACTGGCTTACATGGAAAACATTGATACTACTCCAGAGAAGATGTTACACTAGTGTCATGAAACTACACATAAACTATTTTAGATATCCAGGGTTTTTAATACATAATTATAACAAAGGCAATGAAATGCTTCTTACTGGCTTGAGAATCCATTTCTGTCGACTGCTGGCATCGTCCCAAGCCCTTTTCAGTAGTTTCATGTCATAAGGCAGAACATAAGTTTGTGGAACAAAACCATAATCCTGTAGAAATGACAACAAAGGTGCCAGTTAGTAATGAGGGATGTTCTATACAATCATTATGGATACAAGCTAATGAGCCAAATGAGCTCAATTCCTTGACTTCAGCTGAACACCTGGTATCAGTATGTTCTGCATTATAATCTGCTCTACACAATACAATTTGACTTAAACTGGGCACATCTCCATTACAGAGGTTGGAAAAGGCATGTCAGAACTCCAACAATGATATGTTGTTTTTGACTGCTAGGTTAAATTAAAATTTGCATCTCCCTTGTGAACTGGAGTTGAAACAAAATCCCCAAATTGCAAAAAAAAATTAAATAAATAAAATAAAATCTCAAAAATGCAACCATCCTTGAATTCAGAATCCCAGATTTTTCAGTGCAGATTTTACTAGACTAAGAATGGCTTTGCTCCCAGATGGTCTAGGAGAGTTCGATTCCAAAAAATGTACCAATACATCAGGCTGGAAATCACACAAATCAGTTCACCCTTCAACTTCCATGAGTGACCAAGACAGAAATTTACTTACAATATCAATATAATATCAACCAGATATTAAGTGATGCTTGACAATAAAGAATATAAATTGTCTAAACTAACATACATGTAATAAGAATTGTATGGTTGACAGTAAGGAGAATTACAAATTTGATCTGGGAGTTTAAGGGTTAAGCATACAGATTTTCACATTCTGTTAGAACCCAGCTTCTTTACAAATGATTTGAAGTACCCAATGTAAATAGTTTCTGATGAACATACTTTTTTTCCATGATGCACCATCATGCGGGAGAGATTTCTCCACAATCTGTCTTTTCTCCCAATTTGAAATGTACCAGGAAAGTGGTTAACCTGGAAAAAAAAAACATGTAAGAACTATACATTAAAAGGTAAAAACTTGGCATGACCATGCAGCAATAGTACCAGCTAGTAACATTTTTTGCATGATTTCTGAGTGATGAGTTCTCAAGCTTAACCTTGCATCTTTAAACTTTAATGAGGTCAAACTGTTTTTCAGGCACTGAAGCTTGGGTAAATTAACCCTGAGAAGAACAGAAAGCATTCTTGTTCAACCTAAGAACATATGTTAGTTATACTTACATAATTATCACTTATTTATAATGTACATGCATAAAGTAGCAAGGCTACACAACAGTACATGTAGCTGCAGGGTTGGGTTGTAACTAACCAAAGGTTACCCAACAATTTTTCATTAAGCTTTGTAGTTTTGCACACCATTATAATTGTTTACATTTTTTCCTTCAGTTTCATCCTACAGTCTGAGGTAAAACCCCTCAAAATGTAATCCCTAATATATATACAAGTACACTTCAAGAGAAACCAAGGAAAAGTCAAACTTTCCATCCTGGTTTAAAACTTACCGCCTTTGGGACGACAAACCCTCTATACTGTGACCCACAATTAACAATTTACATAATTTAGGCATAGTTACTACAGATTGGTCAGTTAGATTCATAGAGTCATACAAAACTTTTAAAGCCGATAAGTATTTTTATTTCAGATTCAAAAAAGGAGAAAAAAAAATTTTTTAACTGTTAATACTTAAAACACATGAGAACAAAGATGACTTCTTACCTTTTGATATTCTCTGACAGTTTTAAAACAGTTTGCTTTCATGTGTTTGCCCCAGTATCCTAGCCAGTCATTCCCTGCTTAACAGTAGACATTAATCAAAATATTAATTTAATGAATATTTTTCTTAAACACCTTTCTCAGGCATCTTCAGTGAGATGTGCACAATTGTACAACTAATTCTTACAGAAAAACCTGACTACAATATAAATTTTAAGAAACTAAAAGGCTGAGACTGGGCTATCATATCCAGTCTGTAGGAGTCAGAATATTTAATACAGTCCTTCCTTCCTTTCTTTCTATGGAAACCAAGAGATGTGTACCTTTTATATTGGGAGCTTCTACAAAGCTCTAATATAAAACATTAGCATACAGTCTTCCTCACCTTCCCTATAAGTATATAAGCAAGTTTATGCAGCCATGTAATTAAAACTACTTGTAGTTTTTCAGGACAATGGGGTAAATGAAAAGATTTGAAAATCTCTTTCAAGCTTGTTCTCTGATGCTAACTACAGTGTACATAAAGACATTCAGCACATAATCCAAACCAGTTTTTCCACACATTGAGACAAAAATAGGGAGATTAATTATTTTACATGTTTGCTTTCTGATGTACTGTAACGACATGTCATGTACGCAATTGTATACACATATTAATCTAAACTACTTTACAGCACTTAAAACAGACAAGCAAGGAAACTACTTGTATGACTAAAATCAGTAATAAAATAACAACTTACTCTTAGTTGGTTTAAAGCCAGCTCTTGCAATACACTGCTTGATAACATTTGGTGTTATAGAACTCATCTTCCACCGGAGGAGTTTTCGCAGTTCAGGTGAAAGTTGGCCCACTACAAAAGATCATAGAGATACACTGTACATAAGTTACCATAGCAAATATATTCAGTATACAGGTACAGTACTGTACATTAAATGCTTAGAGAAAAAACTAAAAGTACTTATTTTGCTTTAGATTAAACAATATTTTGCTCCCAGTTTGTGTTTCATGATTTTAGTACTCAACACTGTACATGACTGCATGCAGCTGAACTGGACTTACCTATAACAAGACAACGTTCAATATCATAACACTAAAAGGCTGGAAAAACTTTTTTATACTGCATGTTAATAATGATTCAGTGCCTAGTCTACAAGGTCATTTAATGATTGCATGTTGATTTGAATCCCACTAATCTAAGTTGATTGTTTATACATTAAATATATGATTGAGAAAATCATATAATTATACAATGAAGACCATTAATTAAGAATCTACTTGTACAAAGTTTAAACTTACTTTGGATAAAATTACTAAAATATATCACAATAAAATCATGTATATGCTGTGGGAATATTATTCTGAACTGCAATTCCAAGTGATAAACTTCAACAAATTTTTATACTTAATTGACCCTTGCCCTAAGAGTGACCAGCATCTAATTTCTCCCTATAATATCAGCCCTGAATCAAACATTAAGGTCATGAGAATAAAGGAAATGATCACCAACTAAAGAAACTATTGATTGTTAAACAAATTCTCCTTGCCAGCACCTTGAGAGATGTGGAGAGAAGAGCATGGAGAAAATAGATACTGAGGTTAGGGTGTAAAGGTTTAAAGTTTATGACGCTGAGAAAACAATACCTCCTTGAAGTGTAAAATACACAGTTTTATATTCAGTTTACCTTTTTCTCCCTCCACAGAAAAGTAGATGGTTGGAGATATATGAGGAAATAGGCTGGGTACTAGAGGAGGAATTTTCTCTTGTTTTTCATCGTCACCTGTTGATGCCCATGCATTTGTTTTTTTGGATGATGCAGAACTTGGGTTTGATGATCCTACTGTACCAGACCATCTGCGAGTACCTAACATCATTGGTCTTGCACTTGATGCTCTACTTTTTGCAGTAGAAACACGAGAGGAAGCAGCTGTGCTGATCAGTGACTGAGAACCATCATCATCATCACCATCAGAAAAGCCTGCTGTAATATAAAAGCAACATTTTAACATTATAGCATATTTATCTCCCTTACATTGTGCAATAGCCAACAGTTGATATCATGTTAAGACAGGCATTAGTAAAAATTGAGTTGTGTTCATCAAGTCAAATGCACTTAACAAGAATACTCTTGGGAAGTAACTTAAAAGAAAAATCTTTATCAGTCCTTTGAATTGTCTATTTGTCTTTGTTTCTTTGCTCCATTCATTTAAACTTTAGAGATGAATATGCCACATATATGACTGTGTCATGGGACAAGAGTGCCAAGATTGGATGCAACTGCTGTAAAATATTCAAATGTCTGCCTGCCTCAACAACAACAACAAAAGCAGGTGACTGAGTTGAAATTAGTTTTTTTTTTCCAAACTGATCACTATAGTTATTGCAAAGTGCATTATTAAAGCTTGGAGTTTGCCAATTTCAACATGAGTATTAGTTATTACCTTCATCAAGGTCATCGCATTCATAGAAATCATTGTCATAGTTGTCCTCAACAGACTCATCGTCATCATCATCATCATTCTCCTCCATGTCGTCATCTTCTTCTTCTGCATCTTCATCTTCTTCAGCAATATCAGAGATACATCCATCGCCCGGCATACGCTCCCATGACGGACACCTTGACTTCTCGTAAAATTCCTCATTCTCTAGTGATTCTCCATCTCCGCTAACCCTGCTTTCGTCGACATTACTGTCTTTTTTTCTTACGTCGTAAAACTTTCTCACCATATAATTCTTTCCACGAGGCTCTGTAGGAGGCGCTGGCTTAATGTTTTGATCATCAGTTCTCCTGCTGTTCTGAAAGCCGACCGACTTTCGGTTTTGAGGGGGATGCGGCATGAACTTGAACGATTTCTGTGGGCTAATAGGCTGCGATTTGAGAACAGGCGGCGTCGCTTTTGCTCTGGATAACTTGCTCAAATGATTAGTAATCTGAATCCCGTTGAGCTTCGAAGATAAAGCTTTATCAAGCTGTACCTTGGAATTCATGACTTCGTCCTCAAAAGCACCCCTCAGTAAAACGTAAAAACATGAACAATAGATGTGACGCCTTCGTGTTGATACGCTTTCACTTCCAACAACGTGCAAAGTAAATAACTTGTGTGGCTCGAAGTTTTAGCGTGATCAATATATTTTTACGGAGTTTAAATACACGTTTCGAGGCTATAATTGTTCTAAAGAATTATCGTAGCAAAACAACTTTCCGACGGTGAAATACGAAATATTTCTCTCCTCTGACTTGATTGCTGACAGTTCGAAAGACTCACGTTTCTCAGTGCATTGTCTAACAAATGAGGGTTACTTTAACTGGAGAGGCTAACAAACATTTCTTACCGTTGCCAATGATTTGAAGCACAACAAAAAGAAGCTGTAGTAAAAATTGTTTTTGTAAAGAAATAAAAATTAAAGCTGGTACCACCAGGTGTACAGTGTAGATGCTGAAAAACAGATACTTGGATTTGAAGGTCGATTCGAAATGTTTCGCCTTGTATCTTAATTTTCGTGATAAATCGACTTCCTAGAGACCTGAATATCCTCTGATTAGCTCTTGACGACTTTGAGATCCAAAGCAGAGTTAGACTTCGAAATCTGACGTCTTCACACTCTCAAATAAAGCAGTCAAAACCAATACAATCCTTTACTTACTGGTTTGAATAGCTGAAGAATTCTTCAATGTCATTAATTTGACGTGATAATTCTTTCGTCAAATAATTCCCTGATTAGCTCACCAATCTAGCGTTAAAGCCACAAATTTCTTCTACAGAATCCACTCTCTACGATGGACTCTACAAATCTGTTGATTTTGTCCTTACCAGTTGTTGTTTACCCTTCGAATTCACTCCGATGATCAACTTTAGACGATGAAAAGTTACAAACGGTGTGATCGATAATGGACCAAGGAAAAGTCGTTGATCGTTCAAAACAAAACGCTGTACCTCGTAAAAAGCTTTCAGATTCGCAATTACAGTCTTTCAGATCAAAGGAACAAAGTCAAAAGCCAAGTTTCGCAGCTCACATAAATCTCGAAACTCACTCCATTTCTGCGCCGGGTAAACTGGGCAAACTTTGTTGATAACCGTGGCAACGAATCGACCAATCACAGCGACGTGCTTCGCAAAGCACAATGCCCCTTACAGCGTCAGGGCACTCATCCGGCTTAAATGATATAATATAATTGTGTTTTAGCAGTATTCAGACGGAAGATTAGCTAACAGACAATATAAAAAATAAAACTAAATCCCTCCATATCCAAATTAGACTTCGGCTGATCAACAAAGAGTTATTTTACAATTTTAAAGAGATCATATTTTGAGACTTTAATAACATACAAGGAAGTACTGACGGGTGTTTAATGTTTTCTCCTAAAATATTGATGATATTTTATCAATATGAGGAGAGGATAGCGCGGAAGTTGTACTCTGATTGGCCACTCAAACTTAGAATATTCTTTGTTTCTCTAATTCTAGCAACGCCGAAAATATTGTAATCGTTGCAGGAAAAAATCATTTTTCTTTTGCCATAATATATCACTGTTTTAGTACATCTTAAAACAGAAACTCACCTCAGAGTCTGCGCCACTTCGGGGCACCACAAGCCACCTCCACAATATTCGGTGAACAGTCGTTAAAAATAATGATAAAAATGGAATGAAATAGCGTAAGTTTATTATTATTATTATTATTATTATTATTATTATTATTATTATTATTATTATTATTGAATGGGGAGGGGAGTGTTATTTTTTAAGTGAAGATCGTCACAAAAATTTTGTCTGGAAGGCAGTTTGATGAGGTCAAAATTCGAGTTAAACCCACACGACAAAGTCAAAAAAAATTTACTCCAGGTTAATGCTGTGATAAGTTACTACTTTCGATCTTGACATCTTCCAGGGTAATGAACGGTTTCGAAGGTAAGTGTTTCCACATTCTACTCCAAGAACCCAACTTGGTTTTAATCTACACCAAATCAGGGGCGCAGCTAGCTGCGCAGCATGTGGCCTCATGTGTAGCCGGCAGAAGAGGCGTAATTTCGGCGAGCGAGTGCTCAGTAATTTCATAACGAATACTATGGCCGCCATTTTTTATTTTAATGGCAGCGGAAGGCTGGGGAGAGAAATAAATTTGTACCAAGGGGGCGGTCGACGGTCAAAAATAAGGAGAGGGGTGGGTGTGGGGGAGTGGGTTTTTTTTTTTTTTTTTTTTTTTTCCCTTCCCCCGCCCCCTACCCCCACCGTCTACTCTAACTGCAAATCAAACATGGCCGATCAAATAAACGATCGCGAGCTTTTAACGTTAGCTCGCACTAACAAGACGCCTGATTGCCCAAATTTTCAAACACCCAGGAGAGTTACAATTCGATGTAAAAATATGAAACCTATGCATGAATGATGATTTTAGATATATGAAATTCATGTATTTGCACTGCGGTGAAAAAACGAAATTAAGAGATCCTCGCAGCTAGGAACACTATTTTCAGCTACTCGTTTCAGTAGTGTTCTCAGCTGCGAGGATCTCTTAATTTCGTCAAAACACGATGAATTGCTTTTTTTCATGGCGAATCAAAAGGGAAACAGAGTAAAAAGATAGACTTTCCATGATATAATGAAGCTAACACTTGATTCTTTTTACAACTAGGTTTATTTATAACAGTTAATTTTACAAATCAAAGTGAAACGTGAGAGATGGGGAAAACAAATCATGCAACTCAAAACTTTACAATTTTCCAAATTTTATATCGCAGAAATTTGAAAGGGAAAAAATGAAGCGATTACGTTGCTCTTTTGTCAGGTAAAGCTATGCAGTGACGTTAAACTTAATGAGTCCCAGTCTCTTTACGTTTGGTTACTGATCAGCGCTGATATGAATTCATCATAAGAGGAAAGTGACGCATGCGGCCTGAAAACCACCTGACATAACCAACAGCGTTTGAATCACTGTTAATACAGATGGTGGAAAAAGGCTGAATATTGAAAAATGATGATAATAAAATAAAGTGAACGAAAGAAAGAAAGAAAGAAAAGAAAAAAAGGAAACAATGAAGGAGAAAAAAAAGAAGAAAATAAAAAACATAAATTAAAACCGAATTACAAAATACCTAAAATACCCTAGTTAAAATCTAAAATTCATAAAAATACCTAAAAAAACTTACCGACCTAAAAACAAAATGAAAAGGCTATAAAAAAATAGGAGAAAAAGAAGAGAGAACTGAAAAGACAGAAAAGAAAAAGAGTGCAACGCCAAAGGCAAAATGTTCAGTTACGTGCAGTGACTCTGTGACCGCATACGTCACCTCCATTACAAATGATTCTGAATCAACGTATCTGATTGGACGAAACATAACCATTAGATTGAAATTAACACGCAAAGCATGACGTCGCCTTAGATTTTGCTAGCTTCCCCTTTGCAAAACACAGCGTAATCGAAAAAAAACCATAAAAATGTGATGATGAAAATATATCTAGTCAGGTCTGCTCTTTTAACCTTAACTCTGAACTTAAGATATTACAATACAAAAGAAGTACTTACGTAATCATGAAATAATTACGAGCAATAAAAAAAGAGAAAAAAAAGGAATAAACATTACTCATGATAAAAAACGAAAATATTTACAACAGTACAATCAAATGAATTCATAATAGTTATGTACATGACTAATGTTTGACATGCGAAATATTCTCACTATTCACAGATAATATCTGAATAATTCTCTTGGGTTAAGAACTTTGCACTGAAAAATGAAACTGCCGGCTTAATTAAAGTGATTGGCAGAATTTAGAGATTTACAAAGGATTTCAAGTCATATACGAACATACTACAACACAACCCAAGCCAGAAATAAGGAAATTCTTGTAAAATCAAAACTGCAAAAACAGGAAAACAAAAAGCAGAATTAGCCATTGTTACCGTAATGAATAAGTATAATCAAAATGATCTGTGGCAAACTCGTGGCAAAATACAAAGTCAGATTATGTGAAGAGAACCAGATGTGTTTAAATTCAAGTTAATTGCAGGTTTCTTACTTTTGATAAAGTTTGCCATTCAGGCCATGTTGGCCAACTTGAGGATAAGATCCAAGACATTCTTCACCTGAGCTCTGTGCTCTTTTGTCTTCTTCCAACCTGCAGAAAACGTGAAAAACATCACTCACCACATGATGGAAGACAGGTCAAAGATTGCGAAAACACATTTGCTTGGGATACGTTACGAAATAGAACGATTACAAACAGGAAATAGCTTTAAAAAAATAACTAAGTCTCACTTTTGACTTCAACTAGGCATTTCAGGTCCTCACGTAAGAACTTCAAACACTCCTTCTGGTTTTCTTGTTTGGAACTAAATACAAAACGGACGAAAAATAAGGCACATTAAACGTAGTAAACTTTCAAGTAGAAAATACAGTGTGAATCATCAACGGCTCCTGTCAACGCGATGGGCTCCTGTCAACGCGATGGGCTCCTGTCAACGCTCAGTGATAATGTAAATACATTGACGAAAAAATTGCTTGGAATTTGAGATCACATATACCAGAGCTAACAAATTCATTTTTATAAAGGAACATTTGATCGTGTGCCTCACGATCTCAGTAAGAGTCAGGCGAATCAATCATGTTTGTTGCTGAGCTTTAGTTACCATCCCATAGCTGGGCTTGTTCACTTGTTCTAAACTGGTGCACATGTTTTTAAAACAGCTTTGTAGCGTAAACAAGTACTTACAGAACAATAAGGTCTTTTTTCCTTTTGTTAAGTTCAGAACGGAACTTGTTGAGCGTCAACCAGTCAAGCGATAAGCTTTCAAACTCGGCCTCACAATCTACAAGCGGTAAAGAAGGCTGCATTGAATTTGTGTCCAATTAGTTACCCTTGCATCACCCGCCATATGCTGCAGAGGTATGACCGGATGATTACCTCTTCCTAGATCGGTATGATTGGAAGATTACCTCCTCTTAGATCGAGGCAAAACTTCTCTTGGAGCGTAGTGCGATCGAGGAAAGCTAAGGCCAGTGCACTAGTTTCAGAGATTTAAAGAGATGCGGTGAGAGGAGAGTCAGTCTTCCATTTGGCGAGGGGGAACATTTGAAAGAAGGTCAGGGATTTCAGTGAGTCGCCCTCGAAAATTACTTTTATACAAAAAAATGGTCGATTTTCTGTATTTTCAACTGTAGAAACCCCACCCTGATGTTCCTCATTCACATTACGGGTGTAAACTGTGGAATTGTGGGCCGAATTGTAGCCAGGGCAAATTTAAGTTTGCTGCTTTCATTAAATTATTGTTGTTATCGATGTCTTGGCTTTTTGCACGATGTCAGCAAATATTCCCGTTCCCTATAATGCCCCAAGCAAAGAAAAAGACACGAGAAAACTAACCTTTAGTGTCCATTGCCTCTTTCATCTCTGATTGCAATTTAACCATCACCTTCTGCAGAGAGAGCAACTCGCTTTCGACAACCTGAAATTCTGCATCCAGGTAAATGGCCAACTCTGGGCAATGATTCCTTGAATTGGAGTCTAAAAATAATTTTATAAAATATACGCGCTCAAATATTCAAAAGAGAAGGCGAATATAAATACAGTCCAATGAAGTTGATACTGAACCAGTTGAATCCCTTCAATTTATTCATGGAGTGGCATTGCATCTGATGCAATTAGCAGATGCATCTTCAGATACATTACCACTTTACGAATCAAAGTACTGGCAACAATCAAGAATCATTTTGAAGTTTACTTACGCGCAGATTTAAATGTTTCTAATGTCTCTTTTTTACGGTTCGGTAGATGAAGATGCACTACTTTATAATGCTTTTCCCTCATAGGGTTTATTGTGTAGCATTCTTACAGCAAAAAGGAACTGGATTTCCGATCCCCTCTTCGTTTCAGTATTTGTCGTGCATGAGCAGATACATAAAACTTACCAGATCCGTCTCCACCCTGGTACTCTTCCATATCATTAGCTTGCTCAGAGGGTTCTGCCTGCTTGAGGATCCTTCGACTGCCAACATCTGTAAAGTCTTTGGCAGTCGAAGCATCAAGGTTTGTTGATCCGACACTCGCAGAGCTATTATCCTTGTTTGTGGAAGGGACATCGTCAGGAGAGACCTCCTTATCAGATGGGAATGACTGGGCCTTTGAGTCACCAGAATCTGTTCGCCCACCCTGTTCTTCGTTTTCATTGTTGGTTGCCAGACCTTGCTGTGTACTCTTTGCTTTCACCTCTTCTACTGTGGCAGTGTTCACCACAAACTGAATATCTTCCAATGAAGAAACAGACCACATGTCAGAAGTTTCGTTCCACTCCGAACACGAAGAGCTCCTCCCCTCATCGGAATCACTCAATGGATTGTGTTTAATTGAGTGTTCTTCGCTTTTAGATGCTTTTCGTTTTCTTCTACGCCTTTGACGATGAGTGCGGGAGGGCTTCTCGCTCATCTCTTCAGCATCACTGGATGGATTGTCTTTCATTGGGTATTCTTCACTTTTAGATTCTTTCCGTTTTCTTCTAAGCCTTTGGCGACGAGCACTGGAGACCTCTTCCCTCATCTCATTAGTTTCGGTAAATGGATTTTTATCCATTGGATATTCTTCACTTTTAGAATTCTTTGGTCTTCTTCTGTGCCTTTGGCGACTAGGTCTAGAGGCCTTCTCGCTGTTCTGTGACGGGTAGTCATTATCGGTGGCATTGCTGAAATTTGCAAACGGGTTCAGATCCTTTGGGTATTTGCAAATCTCGTTTGCCTTCTTCTTAATAATTCTCGGTCCTTTGGCACCCTTTTTTCCAGGCTGCTTCATAGTCGGTGGAGGGGGGCGAGGTGGAGCCGCCTTACGAAGACGTGGTTGACGCGGTGGAGGGGGAGCTGGGCGCACCGGAATAGGACGAGACGGAACAGATTGGGATGGACTGGTATGAGAAACGGAAGGCCTATCAGAAGTAGGCGGAGGTGGAGCTTTCCTGTTGACCTTTGTTGGTCCTGATCTTGTTTTGTTCCTTCGACACGAAGCCTTCTTAGGACTATCACCCTTAGTGTCAGCACCAACTTTTCCTTGCCTCTTTTTCTCGTGGTCACCAACCACGTCTGACAATGGAGCACGTGGAGCAGCAGAGGCCGTTGTGGTAGCCCCCTTGGAACAGGCAATATTACTAGTAACATTGCCATTGCGGTTTTCCTTCCGGAAGCTTTTTAAGGATCCTGGACGCGACAATTTTCTGCTTTCTTCCTTCGTGCTGTCTTCCTTGTCTGTGAGACTGTAGGATAATTACGAAGGTAAAGTGAACTCATGTAATTTAAGGAAGTACCCTAACGACTCTAAGAGTAAGAAAGTAGAAATTAACTCAGTTTTTATGAACTTGCCTTAATTCCTTAAAAGGTGATAAAACTTCTTGTTCATTTTTCTTGTTAATTTTTGTTTTATTCTCGTTGTCTTTACTCCAGTCAATTTCATTTTCCGAATCTCACCAATATTTCTAAGGGCTGTCCTATGTCCTCGATTTCCGAAAACACTTCATCAGCTTCTTAAAACTGAGATTCAGCGCGCCTCAATTGGACAAAAGAATCGCTGGTTAAGTTGAAAAATCCATTGGTACGTCATTTAGTTTTCGTCCCAGACTTAAAAACAAACTGTTCGATATTTTCTTGCCTGTTTTGCAACTTAACTGATGTATTCTTTCACTACCTCAAAAGTGCAGAGAGCAAAAACTTTCTCCTAAATCTATTACACCTCTGCTTATCGGTGAACCTTTCTGATGACCTTTTTTCTCCTTTTTCTCCACTTACCATTTATCTTCGACACATTCCAGAGTTGGAGAAGGAACCGAAGCTCTGAAGTACAATTCTCGATGGTTTTTACTTTGACCTTTCTTCTGCATTTTCTTCAAAAAACTCATGATTGCTTCCTTGTGGTCAAAACGATCATACACGTTTCAGAAGAATGAAAATCTCCTGTTTATCCATTGTGATGTCATGTAGCCATGACGTCAACATATCATTCTCATGTTCAATGTGCTGCGTCACTATAAATATTTTATCGATATTTTATAAAAAAGAAAGTTATTACATTCTTTGAAATAAATGATAACTAGACGTGATACTGTAGGTAGCTTTCGCCGTAGAGAAAAATCTGTGGTTGTTCTAAACTGATGTGCGCGCGCAAACCCCGTTAAGTTATGCGCGATGAAGATACGTACAACAAATTCTAGATACTGAAAGAGGATCGCCTCAAAATCCTAAGACGTGTCGAAAATAGGTAAAATATTTGTAGTTCACTAATTGGGTACATTGGAATGAATATAGATTAAAATTATTGTTGTCTGCTTGATTTTCCTCTTAAAACCAGAAATACACTTGACAGCGGAGTGAATCCAGTTAGTAAGGCACGAAGACAACACATAGATGCGGTTTTTTCTACTTCTTTTTTTAGTTAAAAAAATCTTCCCTCTAAAACCTCTACGTCTTTTTAACTGCTTTTTCATTCTTTGTAACGAGGGATCTGTAAGGTTATAACTCAGTGCCAAATTAGCCATAGACCAGGCCAGAAGAGTGGGTTGTGTCGTCTTGTTTTGGAGGGACCGATGGAAACTTCATAGAGGAATACAGCATCACGCCGTTGTGATGATGTACACATTTATTGAAAAATTATCGGTGTTTAGAGAGTTTCCTATATATCACCTGACTTGAACAAAAAAAGGTAGAATTCAGCCAAACACACAAGTTACCTAGTGCAGAAACTTTCACATGTAAGCCATCGGATTAAAGGTTTGGATTTTAGTGAATCAGGAAATATAAAGAGCTAAATCAAGTTTTAAGTGAGTAACTGTAGGAGGCTTTGAGGAAGTCACCTCGCTTTACTCTTTGAGAAATGCTTGGCTTTTACGTTAAACTTACATGAGTGAATCAGCTATATGACATGATTTTTGACATTGTTTAATTTGTTGTAGGAATCTGCAGCGGGTCCAGAACAGCAGACTAAATTAAATTCTATAAGATCTCCGGACAGCAAACTGAAAGTAGTGAGTAATGAAGACAGCAGCTGTCTTGTCTGGTGATGGTCTTTATTCTTGTGGTTTTTCATCTGCGAATGTATTCGTTGCAGTATTTCTCAG